GCCCAGGGGAAGGGGGGACCGCTGTGAGGGTATGCTCTCTGACTGAGCCCAGGGGAAGGGGGGGCTGCTGTGAGGGTATGCTCTCTGACTGAGCCCAGGGAAGGGGGGCTGCTGTGAGGGTATGCTCTCTGACTGAGCCCAGGGGAAGGGGGGACCGCTGTGAGGGTATGCTCTCTGACTGACAGATTTTGAAGGAAAAGAAAAAATACTGCAGTCTTCCATTTCTACAAGCAGAGAGCTCTAAGCTGGTGATAAATAAAACTGACCTAAGATAGAAGACTCTGAGGCTCAAAGAGGAGGACCGGGAGGAAGAGGGGGAGGAAGTGTTTCTGGAAGCATCTACCTGTGTTATGGTAGGCTCACTGGTGATGGGGAGGAAGAGGGGTTGCTTTAAGAAAGAAAACTCTTGTTGTAATCCAGTTCGCCCCTTCTGAAGCTAAGGAGAGCTGCTGAGAGCCACACACCTACATAGGGAGTCCCTGGAATGGAAAATCCATCCCCATCAAATTCACCTGAGTGCCTAACACACAGGACAGCATACTGGTACAATTCCAATGCAGGTTCCAAAAATCAGCTGAAGACAATCATCTTCAGGGCCTGTCCCTAAAGGATAGGTGCATATTCCACTGCTCTTCACATCAAAACGAGGGGCAGATCCCTCCAAGGGTAGGACATAGTAGCTGAAGGTGGAAGTATGAAAAGTCAGGTTTCCTTACACAAAACCCACTGCAAAGCAGTGCAAAACCACAGATTCAAAAGGGAAACTGAGAGGGAAGGAGGAGAGAAAAAGATGGGGGGAGGGAGGGAAGGAGGGAGAGATGGAAGAGGAGGGAGGGGAGGAAAGGGGGAGAGGAGGAGGAAGAGAGGGAGGGGAGGAAGAAGGGCGACGGAGAGAGAGCATGTACAGGGGAGGAGAGGCTCGTCTATGGTAGGTGACAAGTATGTCTGAAGCGCTGTTTTCATTAATAAGCAGGGAAGCTCAAAGAACATGAAAACTTGCTTCAGCAAGTGGCAGAAATATATCCTCGAAGGCATTGTTCTCTTATTTCTCTGAAAATGAAAACCTAAATGGAACTGACTGAGCTTCCTGTGGATATATCATTTTCCTCACTGGAAACAGACTCTGTTTGCTAGGACGATTACAACAACCATGGGATTGGAAGGAAACATAGAGATAATCAAATCCAACATGCCTCTTTTAGAAGATAAAGATACTTATGCTGGGGGCATCAGTCGCTTGTTTCCAGCCATTGAGCAAAAGAGCTTTTATCCAAACCTCCCAATAACCAAGTAAGAGCCCTTTCCATTACACAATACAACTTTGAAATCACAGGATTGGGGTAGGAAGTAAACTCTTGCCTACGAAGAGCTCAGGGAGGGGAAACACCACACAGAAAGTCTACGAACAGTTCAACAGCTGTTTGTCATTTTTAACACAAGGTCACAAACCCAACTAATCAAGTCTTTGCATTCTTACAAGTCCTAGAGGGAAGTGCAAATGTTGTGTGGACTTGAGACAAGTTCAGTCCTCATCGGCTTCTAAACATAACAGGACCTTAACCACGCTTCCTAAGTCCCCAGCGCCAGTGAAGTCGCAGCTTTATAAATATCACGGTGAAGAAGAAATGCTGTCTTGTCACATTCAAGCCAAATAACAGCTGGACTTTAAAAATAAAATTTTGAAGACATTTGCCTTTTATATTTCTAATTTCTGTTTTCCTTGCTTATGGTTTGTCATTTGATTTTGATGAGTGGTTAATACACGTGCACAGCTGCCTCTTTGGGTGACCTTTTCTCTGCCGCCTCCAGGCCCAGGGCTGTGAAGCAGGCCTCTAAGCTGCTCACTGAGAAATGCCATCCTTTGTATGGCTGGCAGACAGTCCTAAGAGGATAGCTGGGACAGGACCTGTCTTCTGGTTGACTTGCTTTTGTACTTAAGAAGCCCCACAAGAAGGATGAGTCCTGCAAGGAGGATACAGCCCTTTGAGGCTGGAGGATGATTGAACATGGATGGAAGGAGGTGTTCTCCCTAGGTGGAGGCATAGCTCACCTTTCAGCTCGGCCTTCCTAAGGAGCTTGCTTTCTGGGTACTTGGTAGAGCATCACAAAATCTTCCTCTTAGAGTTTTGTTCTCGGTGATGAAAAGTTACCGCATGGGCACAGATTTCCCTTTGAATCTTGTCTTTCCTCACTAGATCATAAGCTCTAGCTGCTGAAGGGCATCAGTATTTTGATTTCACATGGTTTACCCAGGGTCTAGTGCAAGGGACTGGCACACTGTGGGCACTCAAGAACTGTTGGCTAAGTGTCTGTTTTGTTGGACCGCACAGGCTAGTGGGTGAGTAAATACACTTGGCTGTTGTTACTGACGCTCAGCCCCTTTCCAGTCTTCATGCCGAGGGGAATATGAACAAGCAGAGTAGAGGCTATTCTGTGTACCTGCTGCCTATCCTGACTTTAATAGGAATTGGAACTCCAACAGGATTTGCAATCAGTTCAGGCTTGAACGGACGCCAGGAACGCTCCTGGAGTCAGCAGAAGGCTGCTCCCCACAAAGGCACTGAGCCGCTGTCCATATTAGTGCAGGTAACTCGACTCCATTCATGAACTCAGAGTCCCCCAGAGGCACATGAGGTCTCAATGGCAACTCTGGGCAGGCTTCTGAAGGGAGGTTTTCACACGCTCTGTAAGCTCCTAGGCCACTCCAGCCTGTCTACTGTTACACTCATCAGCATGCTGCTCCGTGTGATGGGGTAACACGAGAACTGATGGATGGCATGACCAGCTATATTTAGGGGAGAGGAAATGGGCCTTACTGAGGAAGGTCACAAGAAGTCTGTTCAGAAAAATGAAGGCATTACAATTATCTGACTACACAGAGGTATAATACAGACGCTAGAACTTGAATCCTCCATCCATTTTAGCTCATCATTACTGGCATTGTCGCCTACACCACATTATTTTTTTAGCCTCAATCTTTTAACCTGTAAAATGGGAAAAAGTAATACCAGCCAGGTGTTATGGAATATAGATAGCATTTGGGAGACTGACGTAGAAACATCATGTGTTTGAGGCCAGCCTGGGCTACATAATAATACCCTATATAATAATGATGAGGACGATGATGATGATGATGACTTATTCAAAGAGTATCTAAAGATTGTATGAGGAAGGCTGTAAAATAACAGATTCTCTAGCATATGACCACTGGATAGATGTTTATTAAAAAATGTCATTAGGAAAATGTACTTGAAGCTATACAATGTGAATATTGAGAGGAATTTCTACTATCCTTCTGCAGACTTTTCTCTGTTGTTAAGGTTTTTATCTTCTTACAATGGCCAGTAATTCCATTCACACAGTCTCATCATTTGATTAGCAGTGCTACTGAGGGGCAGCTCCCTATATTTACAACTAACGCGTAGTTAAGGAATCAAATGGGAGTGCTGGCAGAGCTAGGGTCAGGGGACAGGGCTCTGTATCCCCTGGTTCATAGCCAAACGAACAGACTCAATTTCCCCAAAGTGATGGAGACTGCTTGGCTCACTACAGACAGCCAGAGACTTAGGCCCTCCAGCTTCGCAAGGAGACTGACATGGGCCTGATGTGAAATACTTCTTTGCAGACCACCAGGCCGGCTACTATGTCTGTGTTGCAGTCAAACTATTAATCATGTCAGTCATTTGGATTCCATGGCTGACTAGACCGAAGAATCTTAACTCATGCCAGTGGAAGCCTGCTGGTCTATGTGCCTATGTCTGTGTGCCCCTGATACGCACTCTCTATGCTGGAGAGCAGGTAGAGTCCTGCTCTTGAGTCCTTTATCTCTCACTTTCCACCACCTTCCTTTTCCTCTTCCCCTTTCCTTCTACTTGCCTCTTTCTATCACACAAGCATGCACACACACACACACACACACACACACACCATTCAGCATTTATGTTGACTCTCCGCACCTTTGTAGCACTATCCTTAAGAATTAGTATCTCCGTCTAACATGGAAGCTGTACCTTCCAGAGATCTGAGGCCTTGCCTGCTGTCTACACCAGCCAGCTCTCAGTATTCATACCAGCAATTTCCAAACTGTCTGGGGAGACTCTGTTCAGATGTTGCTGAGAACTCTCTTTGTGTGTGTTTAAGGGATCAGGGTCCTGTAAGAAACTCTGCCAGTAAAAAGTTAACTAGTAAGATTCTTCCCTTAAGCTAAAATAGGACTTCCACTAGGATCTGAGATTGGTAAAGGATTCTGTTACTCTTAAGAGAGCAAATTAATCTTCCCTGACTGGTGGGATGGATTCTGCCAAAGAAACAGCTAACGGGAAAGCCAGTCTCCACTCCGTGATGACACAGTAAATAACCAGGCCACATTACTAGCAAAGTGCTGACCTAACCTATAAATTGTACCCGGCCTCTGGGGAACAATTTCTGCTGACGGCTGCTTGGTACATTTAAGACAAACAAACAAAAAGGAAGCAATGAAGACGGGCACTGACGGAGCCAGGTAGACATCCTGAGAGTGAGGCTGCCCTTTCCAACAAACACTGAACAGGCTTCCACCACGGTTAGTGCACAGGCCCCAAGCAGGGCCTTTTCTAAGCCACCAGTAGGTTTCTGCTGAATCTGTCAGTCCCAAAGGGTTTGACTGCACCTAGGAATTACTTGATCGAGGTTTTTTAAAGAAGTCCTCTTTGCATGTTTCTTTTTTTTTTTTTTCTCAGTAAAACTCCAGTGAGGTGGGAGACACTTGGGGATCTGTTAAGGGGATGTAGTTGGATTTCTCAGTACAACTTTGAAATAACATTTTGAGGTCCTTGGATTGCTGTGTGTTCACTAGTAGAGAGTCCAGCAGTGTCTCAAAGTCCTCGGCCTTAACACATACGGAGGATCAACGTTTCTGTCCCCTAGAGAATCCAGACAGTGACTCTCAAAAACGGCCATGAGGATCCCATGCCTAACTCAGACCCACCTTGAGAAACACAAGCCAGGAAAAAGTCACTCACCCTCTGCGTCTTCCGGCCGAGTGAGATCGATGACGCCTGGGCCCAGCTTCCCATCTTCACCTGACTTCCCTGTTAACTGGGGCCCCAAGTTCTCAAAGCGTGTTCTTTCCTAGGAGAAAGGATAGTCAGAGGCTTATTCTAGTCACAGCAGCCATTTGCCTCCTCCCCATTGCCTTTTGTGTAGTCGGCAAAGCATGGCCTCATGAACATCATGTCTGACCTACTCGGGCTCTGGAGACCACTGCAGGCTGAGCATGTCACTGACAAAACCAGCAGTGTCTAGAAGACCAGACCTGGAAGGAAGCAGAGGCCATGGCAGGGAACCTGCCAGCACCGCTCGGCCTGTCCAGTCCTGATGTGTTGGATTCGCTTCTGGAATCTACAAGGAATGCAATAGAGAGGGGGCCAGTGCAAAACTTAAGAAAGTTCTTACTAAATGGGAGGACAATCTTCCCATTTAGAGATCACAATTTTGGTTAGTATTCCTGAGAAAAGGACAAATTTGAATGTTATGTGCCAATATTTCAAAGGCAAGTGTGTCAACCTTGGTTGAGTGGACATTGGCATTGTTCCTTTTCTTGAAGCAAATCTTTCAACTGTGAGTTCCTGGGCACTGAACTTTACCTTGTAAAGAAGTCAGGAAGGTTCAATAGTCCTGCTGCTTTAGAAGGGAACTCCAAAGGTGTTTGCTTATTCTCCAGTTCTTCTAAGAGCAGAAGTCTGAGACAGCACCTCTCAGATCAGTGCAGGGGCTCAATAACTGGCCGTGCTAACATAGTGGTGTGATCTGCACAAGCCCAGCACTGGTACCCATTCTCACCTCCCATCTCTGTGCTTAGTCTCCAGACCCACACTTGGCTTTGTGTTATCCTTATGAATGAATGAGGCCTTGTTGTTTGTTACTATGAAACGATATTAAATGTCATGTCAGCTTGAATGTACAGACATGAAATAGCAGCTTGCAGCTCGGGGAATGGTTTCTGCATGTTATACTAATGCATTATGCAGCAGTAGAGGGCTGATTGCTGTGCAGTCTATTGTTCAATGACCTAGTTCTGCACGGAGCATGTTCTGCATCTGACGGAAACACGCCGAGATGTTCCGTAAGATGTTTAGAAACTTTGAAATATTCGGAAGGAGCAAACATACAATTACTTGATAGAGGATGTGCCTCATTTGTACAGCCTCACTGCGTTTGTGCTTTCTAATACGATTATTTTTGAATATCATTATATTTCTATAATTAATTCCCATCAGTCAAATTGTTGCAGTAAATCTTCCAGTTCCCCTTCACCAGAGACGGCGTTGAAATCTTGGTTGAAAGAAAACACAGCATAAACTGTGCTTTAATCTAGCACCGCTTCTAGGAAAGCTTTGCAACAAAGCACAATTAACTAGCCATCATTTCTTCAACTGGGTAACACTAACTAGCTAGTTTCAACAGCGGAGTGTGGGGGGATTTCGGAAATATGACCCGTATAACAGACAGACTGAAAATCAAAACCAAAGTGAATGTGGTTCCCTAACACCTCCTCATGTGAAAACGCGGCTGCTCGGGAACAAATTAACCCAGATGCAGCACACAACACAACGCTACCGCAGCCATGAGCTGTGTGGGAGCTTCACACGTGGTCAGGAAAGGACAGCTGCTTTCTATCAGCCCCGGTCTATTTTTGAGTGGCACTGGGTTGTGGCGGTGTGAAGAAAGTCAAAGAGAAGCGCACTGCAAAGCCATGGTCAACCTTTGTCTCTGGCAGTGTCTCTCTGGCGTATTTGCATGTGAATGCCTGTTACAGGCCCAGAGTCCTCCCACCTCCTTGGAAGAACAAACTTTCAGGGCAGGTGGGGCGGGACAACTTTCTCTAAAAGACAACACTGTGCAACCTATCAATACGCAGATTCTAAGGCTCGTTCTAGTCATCCATTCTCTTTGATTTTACTGGGAAACATTCTCAGTTTAAAAAAAAAAAAAGTTCCTAGAAGAATATCAGTATTTTTCACAGGGAAAAGGAAGCAGGAGGATTACATGCCATGCTTTGTAAGATCCCCAAGACAACAAAACTTACACGACAATCATCTCTTTTCCTTTCTAAAAGTGAAGCGCACTTACAATGCAGTGGTATCAGCTTGTTTTTAATCATAACAAAAACATCCAGGACGCTCCACAACACATTCACCGTGCCTTTGAAGTCAGACAATTTTTCTGACTTCATTGAAAAGAAGATTCTTTGGCAAAGATACTTTCCCTGTAAAATATCAATATTTGACAGCATAGAAGACAAGGAAGAGCATCCTATGAAATACTGGTTAAATAGGCAGGAAATAAATCAATGATAAAAAGTGTTGGGGGCAGTGGGTTGTATTTTCAATTTGATAATATTAAGCACTGTGTTTGAGATTAAAGCAGGGCCCTGCAAAGCCAAGCCCTTTCATATAAATTTCCCCCAGTCTCCCAGAAGATTTCCTTCTTTTCTTCAAAGAATAGCTCAGAATATTTATTTGCCCGCCACAGAACCCTAAGACAAGAGGGCCTGGTGTCTACCGCTTAGGTCTGTGTGGCTGAGCTAGGCACAGCTTTTCAGTGCCATAGACAGGAGCCTGTGTAAGAAGCTGAGTTTCTGGCTATTAAACACCAATGGGTTTGTCATTGTGAGAAACACAGACAGTGGAGGGCATGTCCTCAGGTCCCAAGTTACCCATCCCCACCCCCTTGAACTATCCCTCCCTAGGCACACAGCTCCCAAGTAGGGTGATGCAGAGATAAGAGCACAATTCCTCAGTGTAAACTTGACCCCGTGTCCCACTCTCGAAATCCCCCTGGTTTTCACGTTGGTAGTGGAATGCACACTCACTGCGCTGCCCCATGAGCAGGCTCTCGCTTGTGCATTGTCGGTCACAAGCATGCAGGCAACATGAAAGTTACCGGAAAAAATTTAAAAGTCAGCTCTACAGCGTTGTAGAGACTGTTGGCTCTCTAAGTGCTTTGAAATTATGATGTATGAGGTAGATGTTGCATATTAAATAAAAATATTTAAATGATAAAGCCCCTGTTAGTGGGAGCTGATGAATGTTAAATGTTACAAGCCACAAGATGGTAGCATCCATCATCTCCACGTGTTATCGAAATCAATGATGGGGCGGCCTCACTGCTGACAGAAAGACTCTGATTATTATCCCTTATTTCCAGAGTCAGTGAACAAACCACTCAGATCCTCTGACATTATTTTTAACTTTGCATTAAATTAGCAACTTTTCCCTCCCTACCGTGGCAAGATTGATCAGTTCCATCTTGGCACCAGTGGGGAGAGAATGAATTTGGGGGTAAATAAAGACCAGGGGTTTGTTCTCAGTTAAGCGAGGAAATCAGCTGCCTCTTCCTGGCAGCAAACGTGAAACTGTGATCTGGGGAAGGAACCGTGATGAAACAGTCAGCACACAATAATGGCTTTTCTTTGCACTTAGATAAAAGCTGAATTTTTGATGTACACAGTATATTTTAATAAAATTTTATATACTGTGTTTTATACACTTATTGGCTATTCCATAATAATGTGTGTGCTCACAGTAAAATTGCTCTTAAATTTATGTGTGTTATTTATACGTTCCCACGTAACAATGCTTTTTGTTGTAAAAAAATATTCTGTTTATTAATGTAACTTTACAACCACTGCATCCAAGATCCGTGGTAAATTAATGACATTTTTATTATTTTATAGTGTCATTAAATTTTTACTGATCACTCCATCAAACAGAGGCAGTAAAGGCCATAATGTAAACTGGGACACTTAGATCAGGCAGTAGGAAGACAGCCATGGAGTCTGAAGAAAACTGCTGGCAATAAATGATATTTATACTATCTTTAAGCATGTGAGACTACTTGGATAAGTTTGGCAAAACCGTTTCAGTAGTAGAGTGGATGGGGTACTTAAATAACAGTTCACTTGCCAGTGCGACAAGCCACTTTCAAACCATATGCAAGATGACAGATTGTAGCTGTCTCCAGAAAACTAATACATGAAATGCAATTCTGTACCTCACCTTCCCTCTGGGTCACTGGGGTGGCCAGCCTGTATTGTGCTTCAAGTCCTTTCAAGGTGGCCCCCTTTCTACAGCCAGAAGGGGAAAGTGGTACATGCTCAAGGAGCTTTTGTTTGTTACTTCACAAATGGATATATTCCATTCTAGACCTGTCTAGATAATGGTACCATATACTTTACTCTTGCGGTCTAAAGAGAGGCACTTTACCAACCTTCATTCAAAAGCCCATTTGTACAGATTGTCTGAGTGTGGTGTCATTCACAGTAGCCACAAAGCAAACAGATGCGCACAGGGTGGGGGACTGTTACCCATACTGTAGTTTAAAGAGGTGAAGATTATCTTGGGTTATTTTTACACATAAAATACATTATAATTGGGATTTGCTCAACATCAACTTTTTAAAATAAACTTAAATATATGTTATTAACTAATTGCCAAATATTCTATTTATGTATATATGAGGTAGTAAATAGAAATTTCTGTGCCCATATAATTGTGGAATTAGTAGCACCAATCTCTCACAAGGGGAATATGACATGATTCTTTTTTATGTAAATAAGAATTTTGTTGTTACATAGCCAAATGAGCATTTAAACATTTTAAATATTTAAAAACCTTTCAGATTTGCAATAAAGGTTAACATCACAGCTCGTCAATCATGTTTTTGTGCCCTTCCAAAGCACAGGTATTGCAGAATTCTGAAATACTGTCTACCCTTAAAGTTCCAGTTATGCCTAGTTATTGGGCACTTCCTAAATGAAGTCTTTTTGTCTTCATCCCAGTTCTAAGCTTCAATCTTTTCTGGACATTTGATTTCACTTATATATTGGACTGGTTCTTCAATCCAGGAGAACACAGTCCTAAACTAAATATAACCATCACCCTTTACCCAGCATCCCCCTGTCCTGCAGTTGTACCAGTGCCAATTGGCTGATAGTTCTTGTCTCACTTCCTTCTTTATCCTGGTCTATCTAGGCACCTGGGATGGCTGAGTTTCTTCTACAAAGCCTTTTGTTTTCCCATCAAGGACCTCATGTCACCTTTAGCCTGGCAGAAGCCTTGTGGCCTGCA